TGTGTGTGTGTGTGTATGTGTGTGTGTATGTGTTTGTGTGTTCCCCTTGCTTTGCAGTAAGGGCCTAGTCAGCTGGGGCTCCTGCAGACCCAGAGGCAGAACAACTGAGGAGTTTTCTGTTTTAAAGGGAATAAGAAAAGTCTGCAGACATTTGGAGTGTCCTTTTTCATTACGTTTGAAGCTGCAAGACACAACCCATGCATCAAAAATGTATCCGATTGTTTTTGTATTTGATAAAAATTTCCTTCTTTCCGTCTTCCAATGGCCCAGAAAGCCAATTTCCATTGATATAAACGAGAGGAAAAAAATCAGACATTTCTTACATTTGAGAAGCTTACGCTAGGAATTGTTTTGCACTTTTGCTTGATTACAGTCAAACTACTGATCGATTTCAGAGAAACACTGTCAAAGTGAGTTTCTGTGAGACGACTCATCATTTCAATACTGATCACTTGTGGCCCTAAGCTCTTGTAAAAAAAATAAACCAAAAATAAAACATTGATTATTTTTTTAATAAAAAATGATCTCTGCAGTGGGAGGTTTACATGACAGAGATAACTATCATGTGTGATGATAGGTCTAATATGAATATAAACCTTTATAGGGATATTGACCAGAGTCCTTCTGAAGTTATAATATACAGCGCGTCCCTTTTCCTGTCTTTGACTGTTACATCCTTAAGACTGTTACATCGATGTTGTAACATGTTACCTCCATCTGTTAGTCCTTTTGTTCGCTGCCTTTGGGATTTTCTGGTCAAAGATACATTATCATTGAAATCTTGTGACATAGCCTTATTATCAAATCATTACCAGAAACTTAAAAAAAAAAGAAGAACAGGTGGTCTGTAGTTAAGAATGACTTTATGGACTCAGACTAAGTTTTTAGATATTAAAACGTGGATCCACCTTATTGCCAAATATATACAATTTGGACCTTAACTTATCCATGATCTATAAAGAGTTCTTCACACAGAGGAAGGTCTTAATAGGACATTTTAAAATGTCAGCTTTGTTCAATGTAAATTGGCTGCATACAGTCTCTCCCTGTACAATGCCTGTATGGTTTTCCGAGGATTCACTTGAGCTGACAAAAAAAAAGCATCTTATCGACAAGACAGGATGGCTTTTGCTGTCTCCCTTCCCTCGAGTCTTTTCCTCAATTTGTCCATGGATCCCTCTCCATGGCTAATCCTTCCCTCTCCAACACCATCTCTTTCACTCATGTTCAATTCTTCTCCATCCAAGCACAGCGAAAAACTCGACATCCTTTCCTCCCTGCACCTGTTTATTCTAGTCTTTTCCCCATTTCTATTCCATCATAGTGTGTGGCTGTGCCCGTGTGTCTATTTTTCCCTTTGCCAGGGATGACTGGAAGGAATCTGAGAGCAGCAGGGGAGATCTCTAGTTACCCATCAGCTTTGAAACCTCAGTGTGTCTAGAAGGTAAAGAGAGAGGGGAAATAGAGAGAGAGAGAGAGAGAGAGATACCAAGAGAGAAAGCAACAAAGGCAAAGAGAGACAGAGAGAGGAAGAGAACAAAAAAAGAGGACAAACAAAAAGAAGAGGCATATTATGTTCTGCAGAACGAGGAGGAGAAGAGGAGAGGAGAGAGTGATCCAATGCATTCTGATTAGAACAGGCAGCCTCTGCAGCACACATCCTTTCCTCAGGTCTGATCTCCATCCGGCTTGTATGTTCACTGACAGGCTTTATGTGAATTCATTTAGTAACCAGAAAACCCACCTGGGTTAAAGCATGGAAAACAAGGCCAACTAACTACAGAGAGTGAGGAAATAAAGAAAACATGAAGGATTCAGCGGGGACAAAGTGAGTGAAAAATAATAAGGCCGCAATGTCCGTAGGCTGCAGTCCAAGGATGGAAACAGCATCAGACTGACAAAGAGTATACTGAAATGTTCCATGATCTTCACTTCTAGCAGAATACACAATTAGGTTGGTAAGAAATCACAAAGAATGCATACAGCACACACTCGAAGGCTCGAGAGGCTCAATGAGAGGCTGTTGGCCTGTGTAATGTCTTGTGCTATAACTGCAGTGTCTCTCGCAGCTGTTCGTTCTCTCGCACACACACACACACACACACACACACACACACACACACACACACACACACTCACTCACAGGAAAGAATACAAATGTTAATGTTAATATTAATGTGAAAACACATGTGTAACGCACACAAAGCTTTCCGTGTAATGCTGTGCATATGGTAGAAATTTAACATAGAGGGAGATTCTGAGTGCTCTGGATTTACAGCTAATCTGTCACAGTGTCAGACCTCTGACGTCGAG